CTGCCAAATGCCTGCATGGGAAAAGTGAATTCTACATCTTCCATTGGTGGCCGAGGTAGTGTGGGAGGCTGTTCCCAGCACATAGTAGGTGCTTGATAAGTATTTGTTGTACTGAATGATGAGTACTGGTGCCCAAGTCAGAGAGCTAAAAAAGCCATCACCCAATGACTGCCCCCTCATTCGGGTCTGTAAACAGCTCTCAAGGCTGGGTCAGCCACCACCCTGCTGGCTCCAAGTGTGGCAGCACAGGGGACGACAGACAGATAAGGGCAGATGTCAGCAATACTAAGGGCTTCCTCCTGGGAGGGCATGAGGTTCCACTCATTGTCTTGTGACTTCCATCCCTGCTGAATGGGGCTGCAAGGCCAAGTCTCCTTAAGAGAGGTCCTTACCTCGATCCAGTTAGAGCAATAACCACTTTTTAAATGTAAAATAAAGACAAATGAAAAGGCACACCCTTGTCCTCTGGTAAATGCCCAAACGTTGCCCTCTTTTTCTGGCGATTGGCAGCAAGTCAGGATGTGTGGAGGAGGGAGTCAGTTCTCTTCCATTTTGGCCTGCAGCTTCTTAGGGACAGGCCTGCCAGCCAAGCTGGAGTTGGAAGGGAATTCTCGAACAGATGGGGGTGCACGTGTAGGAGAAGAAAATAGCTGCTCTACCATCCTCTCTCTGAGGCTCCTCTCTAAGCTCTGCTTGGGCTGCCTCACCACATAGGTACGCAGGCGCCTGCTCAGTTTCTTACAACAAAGGGTTTTCCCCTCAGGAGAGTGCTGTGTGCTTATTCCTGCCACAGGCCCGTGGCTCTTTTCTGGGGTGGGTAAGGGAGGAGCGAAGAACTGCAAAGGCTGCTTTCTGCAGACATCATTCTGTATTCACTCCACACTCTTCCGGGCTGTTAAAGGAACATCATTAAGATCCCCCACAGCAGGCTGAAAGGCAGGCAGAGTAAGGATGCCATTAGCCAATGAGCGAACCAGGAAATGGGGCACCTCCAACATTCCTGTCCAGAGGCAGGGGACAGAATGTCAGATGTGCAGTGCCCAGAGGAGGCTGTTCAGGTTCTGAGAGCAGAGGGAAAGGAAGGTCTTAGAAACCTCTCTCTGCCCGGGTATTCCGACTGAGAAGCATTAAATGGAAGTAGTTAGTGGGGTTTGGAGAGCCCTGTTAGCTGGGGTCAAGGTTCCCTGTGCATCTATACCTGTGGTACACCACAGAGATCTGGAGAGAGAAATTGCTCCTTTAGTTTAAGGTTCAGTCCTCTTTCTCCTGAAATAAGGATTGTACTCTTCTTGAAATTGTTATTTACAGCCAAACTCTACATCTATTATTCGAGAAGTGGTCTCTCCATTCCTCTCAGGTGACTCCCAAAGATTTTGGAAAGCTCTGAGACCAAGACCACAGCAGTCCTGTGGGAAGAATGCTGGACAGAAAGGCAGTCACTTCTCTGAGGGTGGAGTAGACTCCTTTCTACCAATACCATATGCAAAGAGGCTTTCCAGAGCCCACCCACCAAGGATGATGACTAAAGGCTGGCCTAGAAACACAGTGGAGGCCAAGGAGCTAAGAGGAGGTGGAGGAAGACTGCTGGGAATCTTTTTAAGCAGGTCTTTTCTCCTGTCTTCTAACCCCAGCCTTTCAGTCCAGGTGTCCTCTGAAATGGAATCCAGCCCTTTACAGACACACATAACATTTCACCAGGCCATCTATGATAATCTTTCAGACTTCTCTGTTTTTCTTAGTGAATTTTACTTTTAAGAAGTATCTCCAGGAGTGAACAGCTTCTATAAACAGGGCACTCTGACTGCCCCAGGACCAGTCCATGGGTGAAAAAAAATACCAAACCTGAAAATAGGGCCTAAGGCTAAGTTAAGAAGATCTCTGTATACAGATTGTAGCCTGGTGATACATTTCAGGATTGTCACTTAGACTTCTAAAGGTTACCCCAAAGATCATATTCCTCCTATTTCTGATTGGGTGCTGGGGAAGGCCAGATTTTCCATCTACATGTTCCAGCTGTTATGGGGGAATAAATGGGTTGGAATGACAAGGCAGGTGCTTGTTCATTAAGGAATTCCAACACTGACCAGCTGACTCTTTCTGTGACAAATGGAAACATTTGTGTGTGTGTGCATGCCCTGGCATGCACACACACCCTGTTTGGGGAATAATCATTTTCTCCTAGAAAACAGGACATTGGTTTCTCATCCTCTAAAAGCTCAAGATGAACTTCTTGGAAAATGAGCCCACTCCCCATGAAGTCCATTTCTCCTCCTCCTACCCACTTCTCTGTAACAAGATGAATGGAATGTATGAAATGCCATCATTTCAGAGACTTCATCCTGATATTCGAAACCTTTGATGCCTGGGGTAGAAACTGACACACTGATAAACAGGAAATAATTACCAACAGATCCTCTACACTTGACAGGAACAACGCATATACATAAGCCAAGAATACTACAAAGTGTATCAAATAGCTAAGTGCTTACCACATTTCTGTAGTCTTTTGCTTAGAGTAAGAATGGCTTTGTCTAGAATACACACACACACAACAAAATTTAGATAGAGTTTAGCATGGTGGCATTTGCCTGTAATCTAGAACTTGGCATGGTGGCACTTGCCTATAATCTCCTTCCTTTCTGGAGATGGAGGTAGAACTTCAAGTTTGAGGCCAGTTTGGGTTTCATAGAGTCTGTCTCAACAACAATCCCCATGGGGCTGGAGAGATGGCTCAGCAGTAAAGAGCACTAGTTGCTCTTACAGAGGACCTGAGTTTAATTCCCAACACCCAAAAAGCAGCTCACAGCTGTCTGTAGCTCCAGTTCCAGGGGATCTGACACCCTGACACACACAAGACATGCAGGCAAAACACCAAAGCATGTAAAATAAGAAAAATAAATCATCAAAAAGTGTTAAAAAATATGTAAAGAACAGCCTGTCCGAGTATGTTACTATTTTCCCAGCAGTACTGGCTAATGAAGGTGACAATCTATCATTGCTGCCCTTGTCCTCACTCCTAGGGAGTCGATCTAAGATTAGGTTCATAAATGGCTTCTAAAGAATGTTGTCTCTCCATTATCTACCCATATCCATCCAATCTTCACGCCAGTTTCTTGGAACAGTTTCTGGAGCAGTGGGGCTCAGAACCACCACCAATTTCAAATAACTGATTTTGGTTTCTCCTATCTTCAAAGGGAGAAACTGCCTTGGACTAGCATGGTTTCCTCCTTGGTCAGTGCTAGCTCAAGAAAAACAGACACAGGCCAACCAGGGAGCCATGGGAAGGAATACAAGGAACTGGGTGCCTAATGGTGCTGCATGGGCCTCCCCCTCTGCAAAAACAGCAGCACAGTGACAGTTCAGGCTCCCGACATGCATTGTATGTAGCTGCAAATCCTCATCAATCTCGACATTTCTTAACTGTGGGAACGCCTTCCTCAACACTGTAATTTACCCTCAAAAGAGCAGGGAGCAAGCACCTCCTTCCCAGAATCATGCTCTACTAAATGCTGCCATCCTCCCATACCCTACTAAACGACCTACGCAGAGGAAGGCAAAGAACCCTCCTCCGAAGCCCGAAACAGACGGCCACAGTACATATGCCACCGACAAGAACTTTTATTTCTTTTTAATGACATTAAACACAACTGCTACAAGGGGAAAAACATGATTTAAAAAAAAAAAAAAGAAAAAAAGAGGCACCAAACTTAAGTTTCCTAATTGATCCTGACAACAATGCAAGTGAATCAGAGCCCATATTAGATCCAAAACTATTGGTTATCTCAGGCTCCTTACTTACAAATAAACTATTTACACAGCAAATTTTTACTTTGCTTTGTCAAGACCCCTGTGGAATGTCATCGTGGACAATAAACACTAAGTACAGTTAAATGCACATAACCCTCATTCAAATTTAAAAGTACAACAAGAATTTAATCTGTAACACAAGACTTAGAGGCCAATACCAAATATAAGATAAGAGATATGCAGCTCTGAAGAGATTAAAACTCTGGATTCTGCCCATTACCATCTTTATGGCTAACACGCCAGATAACGAGTTTTCTTTGGCTTTGTTTTTCTCCTTAAAGAATACCATGTTAACCACCAGAGAACAGCTCTCTCCTCCCCCAGTTCAACAGATTTAATTAGGCTGCTAACGCTTTGGAAAAACAGAATTATCTGAGCTAGAGGAAATGTGATTGTCACATTTTCTAGTTAACCTGTCACTCATCTGATTTGGCAAAGGCAATGCTCCCATTATACATTCAGTCTTCAACCCCCCAGAACCAGGAGAGCAAGAGCATCTCAGACTTCTGCCTAAGCAAATGCTGTCCTTCACTCCCTGTGTTATCTGTTGGGAACTGGAACTACTCAGCCAGTACGCTAACTGCTCCAGCTAGACTAAATTTTAACTTTATTTTGGTCCCAAAGGTAGATTATTTGGCATATCTCATCCCATCAGGCTAACTTATGGCATCTTGGGCAAGTGACCAATGAAGTAAACGATAATTATGCCAACTGAGAGAAGAGACTAGACAGACTACTTACTACCTTTGAAGGTCTAATCACAGGATCTAAACCAAAGAACTAAAGAATAGAAAATCCTTGCTGAGGGAAAAAAAAAGTCAAAAGCTGGGCATTGGTGGTACACACCTTTGATCCCAGTACTGGAGACAGAAGCAGGTGGATCTCCGAGTTAGAGGTCAGCCTGGTCTACAGAGTACTAGGATAGCCAGGACTACACAGAGAAACCTATCTTGGGGTGGGGGCTGATTTTTGCTGGGCATAGTGATATACACCTGTAATCCCAGTACTTGAGACATGGGGCAGGAAGATCAGAAGTTCAAGACCATCTTGGGCTAAATATTACATTAAAGGTTAACCTAGGCTATAAAGGAGAACCTGTCTCAAAGCGGGGGAGGGGGGAAGAAAATCCTTGACTGGATAAAACTAACAAACATTTAGGAATATTTATTCAAACCCACTGAAGGCTTGGGGAGAAAAAAAAAAATCAAAGTCACTTTTTTAGCCAAACGGTAGTAAGGAACACCTTTAATCCCAGCACTTGAGAGGCAGAGGTAGGCAGATCTCTGAGTGAGGCCAACCTGGTCTACTAAGCAAGTTCTAGGACAGCCAGGGCTACACAGAGAAACACTATCTCGAAACCCTTCCCCTCCAAAAAAAGAATCACTTTTCTAAAGTGGAGTAGGATGGGTTATTTAGTATTTAGGATGAGTTATCCACATAAAAAATGAGACATACAAAAGACAACCAGACAGAGGCTACACAACTATGAATAACATTCACAGAATGAATGATAGCAGCATGAACTCCCAAAATCATGTCTAGGGCTGCCTGTAAGACATCCATTAAGACACACAAAGCCTATGAGCTTTGGTTAGAACACCAAATCTTACTGAGAGCTGGTAATGTTGTAATGCACAGGCTCAATCCCAATTTCCCTAGACGTTCTTGAGCACTACTGAGAACAATGGAGTCTAACCAAATGTTAACATACAGGTGCAAAGGTACCTGTAGTCAACTAGAGAGGAAAACAGTGCCTCTCCAAAGGCTTCCACAGCAAGGAGGCTCCTAGAATAACACCAACACATAAACTTGGGGTTTTGCACATGAAACTGAAGACTCCCAGACATCTCAATGGCACTGACCCATCACCAAAGCAAGATTCTGTTGGAAGTTCTTCAGTAAATAGCCAGGGCATTCTGAAAGGCATGTCTACATCTAACAGGACATAAGAATATCTCCTGTAAAAAAACTCCAGGAGCAGAGTGGTCACTGGGAATGGGGGAATCCTTGAAGGGACAAAGAAACCAACTAGTCACAAAACCATGGAATATTCAACAAGGGTTGGTCAGCTATCTTCTGTCAGTTAAGATGTGTAAGGTTTACAAACACTGTGAGCAAAATATAGTTAACAGAGAATGAAAACAGCCAATAATTTAAAAAATAAAGGTAGCTAGTAGGCACAGAAAGGAGAGGATTTACATTTTTAACCTATCCTTTCAATAGGACTTTTCTCCTACTCCATCTTATTTTAAATGTCCCAAATTGCCAACCTTAAAATACTGACAAGTACTCAAGAGACTCAAATTTAAAAAGAGGAATTGTTAAAAGTGACTTCTACCCATGAACGAGTCATCAACAGTAACACTGGCTTGTAGCCTGCAGAACAATCCCTTCCTTACAGTAGGATAAAAGATGATTTCCTTGGGGTACTACAAATAGAGCTTAGAGCTGGTATTTATGTAAGACAGGAAGTTTTGACTTACTGCAGGCCTTCAAAGGGGAGCTACCTTCATTTTAAATTAAAAGGGAGGGAAGGAGGGAGGTAGGAAGGGAAAAATACTACTTAATATTGCTGAAACATGTATAGACAGACACAAATCAGGAGGATCCTCAAAAAAACTCAAGACAGTAATGGGCATTTCCAAAAGGTGACAAATTCTTTAAATAAAAATCTTGTGAAAAATAAAACTCAAAATATACAAACAAAAATAGCAGAGGAAAATAAGATGCTGCTATGGTCCGGACCCTGGGTAGGGACTGTCACTGTGGATGAGATGAAACATATGGACTGTAGGAGAAGTCTGGGAGACGCTGGAAACGATGGTGGCTCCGCTTGTTTCTGTCGACCCACTGACTCAGACTGTATCTTTGTAGAGGTTTCTGTCGGAACCGCGCATAATTTCTATTGAGAAGAGAGTAAAAACAGGAAGGATTTTCAGTTGGAATGATCATTTGGATACAAAACAGCTGCCATAACTATTTCAGAAATTTTATACTATTTTAATAATATGGAAGCCATATCATAAATGCTATTTCCTTGTAACTCTCAAAGTCACCACATTCTTACATAGGTATTGTTATGATAAGTGCCACATATGCCATGTTCTAAGGAAAACCAATGTGCAATGTTTAAGAGCCAGGCATGATGACATATACCTCTAATCCCCAGCAATGTGAGGTAAAGGCATTCTCAGCTTCATGAGTTAGAGGCCAATGTGAGCTACATAAGGCCCTGCCTCAAAAAACCAAAAATAGTTTTTTCTCCCTCTAGAAGTGTTTTGAGCAGGATCTGTGTTTCACTGATTCATCAGACCTATGCCTCCTACAGGACTGCACTGTTAAACAGATCAAAGTTGCTTAGGCCACATCAGTTAATTAGCTAAAAAGAGAATCCCCCAGAGAAGGTAAGTCATCATATGACTATCACATTGTACATTCAGAGACTGAATAGGCCCATAGTAAGGTTTGAGGGTCACCTGTTCTGGGTATGGTTTCTGAGAAAGCGCCTTAATAATTTGACCCAATTTCAAGTCCAAAAATATTGCCAATAATCACTTGGGAAGCTGGTCAAAGATACAGATCCTTTGCTGGGTGTGGTGGGGTCACACATGCAATCTCAACACTGTTGAGGGCCAAGGCAGGGGTCAGCATGATGGCCCAGTGGGTAAAGGCACCTGCAAGCAGACCTAACAAACCTGAATCCAATGCCCAGAACTCACAGGAGGCAAGAGGGCTGTCTTCTGACCTCCATGTTTGTGCTGTGGTAAGTGTCCAGCTGGGCTTTGCAACAATACTGACTCAAAAAAGTTTTCTTAGACCCTTTCTCCCTGGAGTTAAGGCTGGGACATTACACAGGTAGTTGTGAGAAACAGCCAAGGTTTAAAATAATTTTAACAGTACTTGACTTTTATCTATCACTACATGACATTATCTGCTGAATTCTTTAAACACCCCATCCAAGTTAATATTAGTGAATTCCTACTAGGAAAGTGCTAACATTAACGTCTACACTAGTAAGGAAATTAAACCTCAGATTAAGTAACATTCCTAAGGCCACAGAGAGGAGTAGGAAGATTTACCCGACTCCAAAACGTATTTTGTAACAACTATGTTACATTGCACCCCCTTTTTTGAGGTACAGTGTGTGTGTGTGTGTGTGTGTGTGTGTGTGTGTGTAGTGGAGCTTATAACTGAGCGACATTCCCATCCCCACACTATCTGAGAACTGCTTATATTTTATCTCTCTCTTGTCTTGCTACATATCCTGGAATTTGCTATGTACCCCAAGATAGCTTAGAATTTATAGCAATCATCCTTCTTCTGCCCCCAGAGTGCTGGGATTAAGTGCTGTGGTTCTGATGGAAGCCAGCATAACTAGAACAGAATAAGCAGTAAGGGTAGTAGATGAAGCTGGTGAGCCCAGCAAAGCACACAGGCATTCTTAAAGGGCTGAGGATGGCTAGCTGGTTGGAAGCCAATGGAAAGAGTGAGAAATAAGGGAACCTGACTTGTGCTTTAAAAGACTCTCTCTGGCCCGGTGGTGGTGGCACACACCTTTAGTCCCAGCACTTGGGAGGCAGAGGCAGGCGGATCTCTGTGAGTTCGAGGCCAGCCTGGTCTACAAGAGCTAGTTCCAGGACAGCCTCCAAAGCCACAGAGAAACCCTGTCTTGAAAAACCAAAAAAGGGACTTTCTCTGGCTTCTAAGCAAGCAATGACAAGACATATAAGTAGAGTCTATATGATTTCCTGATGCCCTAATATGGAATGTGAGAGAAACATTATAATAACACCAAGGCTTAAATGTTTTGTGCTTTTTACTTTTTAAAAAATAGGGTGTCGCCGGGCATTGGTGGCTCACGCCTTTAATCCCAGCACTCTCGAGGCAGAGGCAGGAGGATCTCTGTGAGTTCGAGGCCAGTCTGGTCTCCAGAGCAAGTGCCAGGATAGGCTCCAAAGCTCCACAGAGAAACCCTGTCTCGAAAAACCAAAAAACAGGGTCTCACTATGTAGACCTGGCTGGCCTGGAACTATGTAGACTGGGGTGGTCTTGAATTCAGAGATTCGCCTGCCTTTGCTTCCCAAGTGCTGGGAATAAAGGTGTGTACCTCCATGCCTGCCCTAAGGTTTTTTAGTCACTGAATTAAAGTTAAAATTGCACTGCATCAAGAACACAGATTTAAAAAAAAAAAAAAAAAAAGCATTTATTTGGTGTGTATGTGTGTGTGTGTGTGTGTGTTTGTCTGTGTATGTACATGTGCATGTGTGAAGGTACCCATGTGCCACAGCTCATGTGTGAAAACCAGATAAGGCTATTTACAGGAGTTGGCTCTCTCCTTCTACCATGTGAGTTCTGGGAATTAACAGAAATTGACAGGCTTGGCATCAATTGCCTGTACTCACTGGGCAATCTTACCAGCCCAATAACCCAGATTTTAGTTTACATTCGATAGTACATGTCCACAATCTTGCCATCCACAGCAAGTACAAGCAGAAGTTAGCCTGGCTACATAAGGAGACCCTATGGCAAAACACGAAAACACACGCTCAGATTTCTTTTTCTTTTTTTTTTTTTTTTTTTGAGACAGACTCAGTATGCAACCCTGGCTGGCCTAGAACTTGTTATATAACTCGCTCTGTAGACCAGACTGGCCTCAAACTCAGAGATCCACTGGCCTCTGCCTCCAAGAGTTGTGATTAAAGGTGTGTGCTACCCTGCACAGCCTAGCACCCCAGATACTGAAGCTGGGTATGGAGGTGCATGACTACATAACCAATACGACATGGGAGGTTAAGGCTGGCCTGAGTAGCAAGACCTTGTAAAGCTGAAGGAAGAGGAAGAGGAAAAAAGAGGAGGAGGTGGTGGTGATTATTGGCTCAGTGGACAAAAGCACTTTCTGCAGAAACCCAACAACCTGAATTCAAGCCCTGGAGCTCATGTAAAGGTGGAAGGAAAGAACTGACTTCACTACACATATACCACGGATGCAGGTGCTCCCCCATACACATCACATGCACACAATTATAAATAAAAAAGAAACCAGAATTTTTAAAACCAGAAAATTTACTGATACAAAATTGAAATATAATAGAGCTAGTTAGTTAAACATTGTGCATCTAGTATTAAACCTTGAATTTTGGTCCAATTCTTAGTTCATTCTAATGCTATGTTTCTTTTTCTGGAAATAAACAACTCATCATAGTTCCCTTGCAACCAAATTGTAGCCTTTTCTCCTTCAGAAGGAAGGAGACCCACTTACCGTGTAGTAAGATCTGAAGGATGCTGCCAGTCTGGGTTCTGCATATGAACTTGATCCATCAGGGCATCTAGCTCTCCCAAGGTACCTGTGATAGATGGATGAGTGCTTAGTAAGGAGTTGAGTGTATGATGCTCACCTCCATCAAAGCAAAGCTCAGCACATGCTTCAGGGGAAAAGAAAAAGGCACTTGACCTTATACTACCCGCTGTGACTATCACAAGCAACTAGCACAGAAACTATAAGCCAGACTGAAGCACTGCTTTTGGATGGTGGGGAAACAAAAATGGCAATGATCACTCCTTTAACACTTATCCTATTAGGTGTGACACACTTCATAGGTACCTAGAAATGTGGTAGTGAACAAGACATTATATGTCTATCCCTGCCCTCACTTAATGAGGGAGGTAAGTGATTTTGAAGTATGATAAGGAGATATGCAAGTGGCTACTCAGACTGGGGTGTGGGAACTCGGAAGACCAGTCAGGGATCGAAAGGATGCATAGAAATGAGTGAGGTGACAGGTTGTTAAAGAAAAGTAGCCAATACAAAGGCTAGAGACAAAGAACAGTAAAATACATTGTTGAAGAAAAACAGAGTTTAACACTCTTTGCTAACCAGAAAACCTGTTAAAGATGATTTTCCACAATCTTTGAGAAACTGACAATGTACTACATATTTCATGATATCTAGTCAAAAAAAAAAAAAAAAAAAAAAAAAAAACCCCAAGCAGGGAGCATACGCCAAGCATGGTGGTGCACTCAGGAGGCAGAAGCAGGCAGATCTGTGACTGTAGTCCAGGCCAGCCTGGACTACAGATCGAGTTTCAGGACAGCCAAGGCTACACACAGAAACCCTGTCATGGAAAAAAAAAAAAAAAATCATTTATGTTCAGAACAGCTTTTTTTTTTTTCTCCAAGGCAGGGTTTCTCTGTGGCTTTGGAGGCTGTCCTGGAAGTCTCTCTTGTAGACCAGGCTGGTCTCGAACTCAGAGATCAGCCTGCCTCTGCCGCCCGAGTGCTGGGAGTAAAGGCCGAGAACAGCTATTCTAACTTGTCTTAGTGTTCTATTGCTGTGAAGAGACACCATGACCAAGGCAACTCCTATAAAGGAAAACATTTAATTGAAGGCCTGTTTAGTTTAGAGTCAGTCTATGATCATCATGGCAGGAAGCAGACAGGTATGGTGTTACAGTAATAGGTGGTAGCTTTATATCATGATTTGTAGGCAGCAGGAAGAGAGAGACTGGGCCTGGCCAGGGCTTTTAAAAACTCAAAGCCCGCCTTTAGTGACACACTCCATACAACAAGGCCACACCACCCAATCATTCTAAAACAGTTACACTAACTGGTAGGGGGACCAACCATTCAAACATATGAGCTTATGGGGGCCTTCTCATTCAAACTACCAAATAACTGTACAGAAGTTCACTGAAATATAATTTAACTGTGGGGTTATTTGCAAATTCTTCTTAATAAGATTTTATTAAAAATTCACATACAGAGATAAATGTTCTTAATATCATTTGAAATATGAAAAATTATAGCTCAAGGAAGTAAACTTGTCATAACTATTTAATAACCCAGAATTCAAATTGTTCTTATGTGACACCATGTTCTTGCCACTATGTGAAATGCTTTTTTAAACAATTTGTTTTGGTGGCACATGTCTTTAATCCCAGCACTTGGGAGGCAGAGGCAGATGGATCTCTGAATTCCAGGTCATCTACAGAGCAAGTTCCAGGACATCCAGGACTCCACAAAGAAACCCTGTCTCAAAAACATATTTTTAGATTTATATTTATGTGCATGTATGTATGTGAAATAAATGCATGCCTGGTGTCCATGGAGGTCAGAAGAAGGCACTGGCTTCCCTGAAACTGGAGAAATGGATGGTTGCTAGCTAACATGTGAGTACTGGAAACAAGGCCCAGGTACAATTAAATCCTAGTTGTAACAGGGCAAAGGTTCTTGTATCTTGTCTCAGCTACAGCCATCTGAGGTTTAACCTGAAATTGACTCTGCTCCCTATTTTATAACCCTACCCCCGAGCTGTGAAAAGTATCCAACCCTGTTTTAGAAACTCAGGGTTGAAATGCCCCAGCTAAAGGAATGTTTTGGCTTTGGTTAAACTGCTTGCTTGCTTTACTTCCTTCTTCAACTGCCAATCAGGATGTAGTTTTTCTGTGTTCTTTGCTTTTAAAAGCTCCCCAGAAAATGTATGCAGGGATGCTCTGCAAGTGGTTCTCTCTAGACAGTCTTTAGCTGGTCTAATACAGAATCTCAATTCAGACTTTGGTCATGCTGAGTGGTCTTTGGGTCTCTACCCTGCAAAACTAGTAGTCACAAAACCATTTCTCTAGCCCTGAAATGTTTATAATCTTAACACTTGGAAGGCTAAGGCAAGAGGACTGCCATGGGTTCAAGGCTACCCTAGGCTACAGAGGCCATATCTCAAAAATAAACAAAAACCCAAAAATGAAAAAGAAAACCAGTAACAGTAACAACAACAACAACACCCTGAAACTTGGGGCTGGAGAGATTGCTCAGCACCTGCTGTTCTTGCAGAGGACCTGGGTTTGGTTCTCAGTATCCACATTGCTAACAGCTATTTGTCACTCCAGGTCTAAGGATCCAACACCCCCTTATGGTTTCCAAAGGTATCAGGCATGCAAGTGATACAGACAGATCTGCAGGCAAAATACTCATGTATATAAAATAAAAGTATATCTGCCAAGGTGTCGATGGTGTACACCATTAATCCCAGCACTTGGGAGGGAGAGGCAGGTGGATCTGTGAGTTCGAGACCAGCCTGGTCTACAAGAGCAGTCTCCAAAGCCACAGAGAAGCCCTAGTTTGAAAAACAACAACAACAACAACAACAAAAACAAAAAACAAAAAAAAAAAAAGAAAATTAAACTCTAGTTAGGAAACAATTTCCCTAGAGCAGTGGTTCTCAAATTTTAATGTGTATATAATCAGATGGCGATCACAAAACAAGATTGCTGGTGGCTCACACTCCAGAGTTTCTAATTGTGAAGGTCTGGGGTTTCTAAGATATTCTTAGTATTGCTGATACTGCTCATCTAAGAACCTCTTTTTTTTTTTAATCATCTTAAAAATGTTAAAATAATCTTTATCTGTTGTTATGTATATTATATATATTTAAAGTATATTAAAATAGCTTTGTGCAATTAAAGCACAGCCATTTTTAGATACAAGGAACAGTAACTGATATAGTTAGTAATAAAAATATAGACAATTCACTAAGTGTCTCTATCAACCATATTCCAGGGCAGGATCCATGCCCAGGACTACACAAAACAGACTTCTGTGGTTTGTTGTGTTTTCTTTTGTTATGTACCATATTAGTTTTTTGTTTGAGTCTCATTTTTTTGTTTGTTTTAGGGAGGAATTTTTTTTGAAAGAGAAAGAACATGAAGTTATGTGGGTAGGGAGTTGCGGAAAGGAAAGTGTATGACCATAATATACTGTGTGGAAAAATACCTGAAATTCTTTTTAAAAAATGTATATATACATACATACTTGCTTCTACACCTTTAACCATTTCCTAGAACAAGGTAATGAACAAAAATTAAAACTAAGGTGAATCCTGTTCATTTCTGAGACACCATAGAGATTCTTTTCCTAGTTTTTAAACATTTTCTTATAATGAGTTATATAAACCTAAATAAAAAACTCAACTTCAATAGGTTGTGAGGGGGAAATAGTCTCCATCTTTGTGAAAAGTTGAACATTACTAATTATATCCAATCATCTTTAGAAAGGAAAAACTATGAAATATTATTTACTGAGCCAGGATTACTGCTTTTGTTGTTCATTTATTTGAGACAGGGCCTTACTATGTGGCCCAGCTGACCTAGAACTTCCTATGTAGATCAGACTGGCCTCAAACAAAGATCCGCCTGTCTCCACGTGCTGGGATCAAAGGCATGTGTTACCATATTACACCTAAATTGGATTATGTTTTTAAAATACTCTACGTGAGAGGCTGGAGAGATGGCTCAGTGGTTAAAAGCACTGTCTTCTCTTCCGGAGGACTTGGGTTCAATTCACAGGACCCATATGGCAACTTGCAACTGTAACTCCAGTTCTAGGGGATCTGACACCCTCACACCAATGTACACTAAATTTAAAAAAAAAAAACTTAAAAAACAAACAAACCTCTATGTGTAGACCTGAGCAACTGAGGCAGAGTGTGCGCTGTCAGTGGTCCTGGGTTCTACAGGCAGTCCTATCCCAGCAGTTTAACCAAATGAAGATAGGTTTTCTCGTGGTTTGTACCACAAACACGGTAGATTGGTGTCCCTTGATGTCCCTTTTTCTATCTCAGATTTGGAATTTGGGGTCAAGAGCCAATTGGTAGGATTGGGAGAAACCATAATGAAGAGTGGCAGCACTGTGGGGACATTTATAGCTATCAGAATAGGCATACAATGCTAATCAAGACAATGACTGCCTGCTAAATTTATTTCCCATCCATCCTGACACGTGTACAACAAAAGAACAAAGCTTTTTCAAACTGGGAAACAAGATGGCTCAGCGGGTCAGGGCATCGGTCAACATGCTAACCTGAGTTTGGTCCTTAAAAGACAGAACCCACTCTAGCCAAGTTATCTCTGATTCTCACACATGTATTATGGTGATACACAAACACAAAATGTAAAAACATATTCACTTTATAAGTAAGTCTTACTTAAACCAGGACTACTGAACACACACACACAAAAAGCAAAGCCAGCTGTAGTTGTCATACCCACTAGTCGTCCCAGTGCTGGGGAGATAGAGGCAGGCAGATCACTAGGGTTCACAGGCCAGACAGCCTAGATTAATTTACAAGCTCCAAGCCAACTGATGATTGCTGAAGAATAAAATCTAAGGTTGTCCTCTGGGACACACACACAAACACCATGAGATACTTGCCTCATAAATAAGGCAATGGCTATTACTCATTAGTAATTAGTAGCTTTTCCCCTTGAGATAGCATTTCACTATATAGCCCTGGCTGGCATGGAACACATTACATAAACCAGGCTAGCCTTGAACTCAAGAGATGTGCCTGCCTCTG